TTGTTGAAATTTCTTGTCTTACCCAGTATACTGTCTTGATATACTTTACTACTGGTGTATGTAATCATGCTATGGCAGTGGATGAGATGTTTATTTATCAACACTCTGGGTGCTGGATGGATGTCATTGCCCCATTGAGCATGTGTGATTCCTGGTGAATGATTGTGTGATCCTTCCTTTTTGAGAATAAGCAACAGAATCAAGTACTGTCTAGGGTAAGCACGTAGATTGGTGGGTCCAGGCTTAGGATTGAACACCTTTAGAGGTTTGAGACCATTGGAATCATGAAGGGCGATCAGAGGGTGAGACAATATTATAACAAAATTGTGTGCGCACATAAGTAATTTACAGCACGACAATATTTAAAACACAAAATAAGAAACGAACTCAAAACATTTTAAAACAAAAGAGTTGAGGATGACGGGTTATGACACATGCTCAAGAGTCCACTCCCGACTTCGACCAGCTCCTTACCTTAAAAAAATGGAGAATAAGGAATGAGTACAAAGACTTAGTATGTAGCCTACTTCTAGGCTCTCAATCGTATCGTTGATATGCTAGGATACCACACTCTTTCTTGTCTTGTTCTTGTTTCTTATTGTAAGTACTTAGGCCCACTTGTTCTTGACTTCGGGTTCTTATCGTGATTTATTCTAAGGACCTTGGTCCTTGGATTCTAAAACTTTTGTCATCCTTTAAGGGCCTTAGTACCATGGTTCTTGGTTCTTGGTTCTTGTACTTAGAACTAGGGTCTTGATCCATGTTCTAGATCTAGATCTAGATCTTTCTCTTGTTCTTGGTACTTTCTAGGTATTTATTCTGTTATTGATTTATTCTCCCAGACACTCCCCCTAGGATTTACGGCACTAGCCAAATACCTGACAATTCTGTGTCCAATTATTCTCCCAGACACTCCCCCTAGGATTTACGGCACTAGCCAAATACCTGACAATTCTGTGTCCAAGGCTTGTTACTCAGTGGTAGATCGACTAGACGACATTGTGCCAAATACCTGACAATTCTGTGTCCAAGGCTTGTTACTCAGTGGTAGATCGACTAGACGACATTGTGAACACGTCGTGTTTTAGGACATTAATCACGAGGCTAGGTAGTAGTTACCCTGCACGTAGGATCCGTCCTATGAAAGGCCGTTGATCATGTGAGTAACTTGTTTAGGTGGTATGTACCGAGGGGTAGCACTCCCTCACCATAGGTTACTTCATGGCCTGTGGGATAGGTTCACCAATTAACACTCCCATGGATGCAAGCAGACCAACACTCACCATGTTCTTCCCCACCTTGTACCATTGCGAAGGCTAAGTTTTCTGCCCAGGTCTTTGTATCAAGAGTGTGGAAACTCTAGGGACAAAAGTAAACAATTGGTTTCCTGCTAGGTTAAGGATGTGATGAGAGACTACAAGTAGGTTGCTTAATCGTGACGAGAGGGTACTCTAGAGTTTAGAAGTAATAGAGGAATTATGGACCTAGGGAATCATGTATCTCGTTCCCCCTTCCCTCGTTAGATGAATTTGGCATATATTAATACACATTTTGATTTCTCTCTTATTTTATACACATTGATTGGCAAAATTTTTCCTAAAGATTCAGGATGTGACATGATGAAATCAAAACCCCATAATTGTTCTCCCAACAGGCATTGAGTAATTCTTGCGAAAGAAGTCTTGCGCAATTCCTATTTGAAACTATAGTTCTAGAATTTTTTGAACTGTTCTATTCTACCTCACCTTAAAATTTCAAAGGTCCTCGTCAAAAGTTTGAAAGTTCAACTTAAAAAAATAAATCGGGAATTTAGTACCTTGTTGGACTTGGGTGCTATACCATATGTAATCTATGAATTGCTTTCTCTATTTTATATTTTCTACGGGAAAGTATTCATATTTTGTTGTCCATTTTATGAAAATGTTTTAAAAATAAATGAAATATTTATTATTCTTGGGCTAATAACTATTATCTATTCAAGGAATTTTTTTATTGAAAATCTAATAAATAACCGAAATTAGTTAAATGATTAAGTTTTTTACAACCATAACATGCATTTACATAGTTTCTTGCATGTACTATAAGTATATTTATTCACATGTCCAACACAAATGGGTAGTTAAGCTGAAGGTTTATTAGGAAATGATAAAGTATATTATCGTTTTCTTTTATTTCACGGTGGCTTAGTTGGGGCTAGCTCCTTTGGATAATCATTTTCGTCTTATAGTGTACGCATCCATATTTCATCATAAAGGGGAAGTATCCCGGTGCACGTGAACATACAAATATGCTTGAGGTCCACATATTTTTCTTCGTGGCGTAATAAATCATGTAGGACAATCCTCATTCTTTCATCACACATCACACTCAGTAATGTAACACCGCTAATATTCTTGCTTAAATTAGAGGCATCATCATATGAATGCCATAAATAACATATGTGGAAGTTTGAAATAAAATATTTACAAATGAAGCCATGAACTTACACGTTTAATTTAAAATAAGAAAATAGAACTAACATAGTCTTTGAACATGAAAAATGAAATAATCATCCTATCAACTACTAAATGAAAATCAATGCATACTACTTCTCTATCATGATTTCTTCCATGGTAATTTCAGAATTCACTGTCACCTATGCCGGACCGCTTTACCTTTACGTGAAAAATAAAGGTAGCTTGTGGCTTGAATATTTTAAGAAATAGTAAATAAGTTACCCCATTGTTGGGATTAGTGATGCAATACACACATTTAATGATGGGACATATCCTTTAAAACTATGACTTAACCTTGGACTCTTTCTAATTCCAGTCATGGTTGGATGTTGGATGCGTAAGGGCAAAAGCTCAATACATTAAAATAAACCCTAGGTTCAGACATGGTTGGATGCGTAAGGGCACAAGGCTCAATACATTAAAATAAACCCTAGGTTCAGCTACATAAACCCTAGCCCAAGCCCAATAAATTAAAAATTAAACCCTAGGCCCAAGCCCAATACAGTAAAAAAAAAAAACCCTAGGGCAGCCACCCATGTAATAGAGCACGAAGCCTGAGTCGAGGCAGCCACTCACAAACCCTAGCCGCTACCTTATTCTTCCTCTTTATCATCATCTTCTTCTTTAAATTGTCGTTCCCGTCCATCGCTCGCGCTGTCATACGTCACCATTGCCCACGTTGTCCCGCGCTACCACGACCAGTCACCGTCGCGCATCAAATTGTCGTCGCCAGAACCACTATTTGGAGGAGTAAAAGTAACCACTATTTGGAGGAGTAAACGTAACCAAGGTATAATGCGCCAACCAACGAAGTTACAATGTGGTTTCTTTTCTAAATAGTTCGAATTTGACTCAACCTCTACGTAGTAAGAAGGTAAGCAATAAAACTCTATGATTTGTAGGAGTCGTTGTTTCATGTCAAGTTGGGTTGGTTAAACTTGGGTGTTTAAATGTAGGCTCGATCTAAGTCGAAGTTGGACCAATATCTATAGGGTCGATTAGAAAAAAGCCCTCCAAGTAAGAGGTCTTCCTATTGAAACTTAACTGTTTTTTTTTTCTACAGGGGTTGAATATGTTTGGTATTGTATGGTTGAGTGTTGTATGATACGATAGATGTTGACTATAAAAATAAATGTTTTAAGACCTATTGCATGCATAATTATGTTTGATGATTGAAAATATATCTGATATGAGTTGTGTGACATAATGTATGGTTGCTCATGAAAATAAACAGTTTGGGACATAATGCATGCATGTTACCTTTGATGATTAAGGAGGCTGTGGTTAGGGTTACATGTTGGCTGTTTTGAGTGATCAGCCACTAATGGTCACTCTACGAGGTGATTTAAGAAAATGGTTATCAAGGTAAAGGTTACACGCAATGTGTTTCGGGTAACCAACCATTGATAATCATTTTAAGGAGTTAGGATGGATATTGATTTTCATGTGGTAAGGTTACACGCTGTGTGTATCGGGTAACCATGCACTAATGGTCACTCTACGGGGTGATTGCAGAAAATGATTAACAAGGTAAAGGCAAGACACCTCTATATAGTTGATGACGACATTGCAAGTAAAGACCGAGGCACATGCATAAGATAGTGATATTTCATTTCTTAAACTTTAGGAAAGTATAGGATGTTTTTAATTTTAATATTTTATTGGTTTTACTTAGTTTTGTTATGTTGATTTAAATATTTTTTCAAGCATGTAAGTTCATGGCAGTATCTTACGATGAAGTTTTAAATGTTTATTTTCGCATAAGAGAGTATGTTAGGATGACATTAGCCACTTTAGGTTAGTATAAATCTAGGGTCATTATAGAGAAAGTCCCCCTGCACGGATGATGGTGAATGTTAGAATGGCCATAGAAGTCAAGATAGGATAATAGTATGCATCGATTTCATTTAGTAGTTGATAGGTGACATTTTTTTTATATTAAAAAACTATGTTACTTTTTGTAACACTTGAACTTAGGAGGTATTAACATCCTTTGTTTTCCTACTTAGGATCCAAATATATGCATGATAATTAGGTCGTGATTTTTTATTGTAGGCTAAAGAGACCAGGCTCGAGTCGATGAAGAAGGAAACTATGCTCGAGATAGTTGTAAGATTAAAAAAAAACGGATAAGATCAACATAGGAACAAGGTCATTTCGCCCCTACTCCTACCTGAGGAGTCTGGATAGTTGAGTCATCACAAGAAAGCGAAAGAAAGGGGAGGAAAAGAAGAAGGGATAAGAAGAAGTTAGGATTTTGAAAGAAAAGAAGAACAGAGAAATCGGCTGCCTCAAATCTGCCGTTGGAGATCGAATCAAAGGCAAGAAACTTCAAATCAAGACTCCTCTTGGTGCTAGAAGAAGAGCTTGGGGAGTGGACTCGCCCATTCCGACTAGAAAATCCGAGAATGGACAAGGTAAGACTATGACCTTTTCATTTCGATTTTTCCTAGATCTAAGGAGTCCGAGAATGGACAAGGTAAGACTGACCTTTTCATTTCGATTTTTCCTAGATCTAAGGAGTTTCTTGAACAATAGATCTGGAGTTTTGAGGTGTCTAATCAAAAGAGGATTCACACAGGTTTCTTGAAGAAATCTCGAACAAAAATTGGAGCTTGATCGAAATTCGGGTGAACTGGTCAAGAATAGAAAACGTGAGTTTTTCGGTATCTTTGAATGGATTTAATTCATTCTATATTCAAGAGAAAAATAAAAGAAAAATATGTCGATGTAGGTGAATAAAAAATTTACGACTTTGGTGAAGAAACCAAGTCAATCCAAATTATGTGCGAAAAGTTACGAAAATCTGAACTTCGATGTAGGTGACTGAACTTGATAGGAATTTAGTATAGGTAAATAGAGAGTTTTGAGAGATTTTCTCAATTTTTTTTGAAGCCAACTTTCCAGTAAGTTGATCACTCTATTTATATAGTCATATTTGCGTGTTCATCCAAAATTGAGATTACCAAATTTTGATATTAAAAATTTCCCTCAAATTTGTGGGATTCTGTGGCAAGCATGCAAGTTTAAGTTTATCAAGGTTTGACACTCAAAATTCCACTCAAATTTGTGACATGTTTGGTTAAACAAAATTTTGATATTCAACAATTAATTTAGATAATTAATTTCAAATCAAAATAATATTAAAGGTTTAATTAAACAATTTAATTAAACAATTTAATTAATATTTAACATTAAATAAAATGCCAATCCCAATGTACATATTGTGAATCTCTCTTCATAATTAAAATATTTAAATCTTATTTAAATTTCTCCAATTATCTCTTTTTGTTTAATTCATAATTAAAACAAAATGTGGTTAAATGTATATTATATATATATTTAGCGTGTATTCCCTAATTTGAATTCGAATACTTTGAACTCACTCGTCACACTATTCTAAGGTTTAGTCCGATATGAGCTAGTAGAGGGACCTAATGGACCTACAGGTTATGGGATCCAACGATCCGAGATTAACCGGCTAAACTCATTAACCTTGTTAACAAAAATTCGTCAACTACTAGGACACTCCACTATAGCCTCCCCACTATAGATATATTTCTGTCCATTTGATATAACCATGATTAGTAAGTCAATCCTTCACAGGTTGTTCGTAACTAGAGCTGGGTCAATTTACCATTTTACCCCTAAACTTACTCCTTGTTCCTTAAGTCCCACTGATCCTCTAATGAACAATTGGTTTGTGGTTCAACCACAAAACCGAATCCCTCTCGGGTCAATGAGAGGGTGGGGCCCCTTGTTCAAGACTTGGAGTCAGTACTTAAGGGAACAACCTCTCTACTATATCTAAAAGCGGGTAGGAGAGAGTTCCATCTTACACCCTATGTCCCCAATTATTCAACCAGTCTTACCCCTGGAATGGGACGCTTATTGAGTCGACGAAATCAGGCCACTCTCACCCATGAAAATCTAAGGATAATTCTGAATAAACAGGAGTTCATAGTTAGCTCAGGATTAAGATCGAGTTACCTAGGTCATCGAGTGAAAAAATCAGTCTCAACAGTAAACAACATTATAATGATGATACATTATAACATGATGATATAAGTTGCTTGATTATGAGATGACTTAATATGATGATATTCCATATTAAGTTGATGTAGAGGTATTAGATGCCACGATGTATTATGACTACAGGTTTTCTAAGACACAACCCCAATCGATGTTAATGATGATGAACGTATGAAGGCCAATGCATGCATGTTACCTATGGTAATGTGTGAATGATGTATCGGGCTGTGTCATAAAATAATTTAAAGATGAAATCTATAGGGATCTCATGCATATTTTAGTCATATACATCTGGTTACTTTCTCATTTATGATGATGAGTATGGACGCGTACACTACGATGATGATCATCATGATCATGCCTCGTATGATACTCGAGGGTCTGCTAACGTCCAAATAATCAGTTACGGACAACTAGCCTGACTATGATGGGTCTATGGGTATGAACTGCTTGGAGACTCACGTTCGCACGTGTGGGTCATGTGTAGGAAAGTACTACACATCTAATCATGGGTTACATGTGTTAGCATTACCAGACTCCAATAGTGGGGTCACTTACTAAGTATTTCTTAAAATACTAAAACCGTGTGCTACATTTATTTTAGGTAAAGGCAAGACACCTCTATACGGTTGATGACGACATTGGAAGTACAGACTGTGACACATGCATAGGATAGTGGTCATTGGATAAGGTTAAGTAGGTAAACCAAGAGATGATATAAAATGACCATAATACCCCTAAGGTAATTTACCTTTGGTTCATGAACTAGATAACCTCCAAATATTATGAAACTCTGTCCATTGGAAAGCATGAAACCTTGGACAAAGGTTGTCAGGTTCATGACTAGTACTGTAAATCTTAGGGGGAGTGTCTTGGAGAACGAACCTGAGGAGAACAAGAACCTAGAAAGTACCAAGAACAAGACAAAGATCAATGGCTACAACATGGATCAAGATCTAAGTTCCCAGACCAAGAACCAAGAACTAAGAACCATAGTACTAAGAAGGACTTAGATTATAAATAAAGTTTAAGGATCCAAGGACCAAGGTTCTCTGGATAGATCATGATATGAACCCACGAGTCAAGGATAAGAACTAAAGAGCCTAAGTACTTCCAAGAAGAACAAGAAAAAGAAAAGAAAGAGTGTGATACTCTAGCATATCAAGGACACGATTAAGAGCCTACAAGTAGGCTACTTACTGAGTTTTTGTACTCATTTCTTATTTTTCATATTTTTCAGGTAATAAGGAGCTTTTCAAGGTCGGGAATGGACTCTAGAGTAGGTGTCGTAGACAGGTTTCACCTGTCGTCCTCAACCTTTTTATTTTAAAATATTTTGTGTCCATTCCGTATTTCGTGTCTCGATGGTTGGATTGTGTTTTAAAAACTTATGTATGAACTTTATTTTGATATAATAGATATTATATTTTAAATTTTCTTGTTTTAGTTCGCTAAAATTTTTTCCGTCTTTTATGAAGTCATCGAGTCAGCCTGGTCCTTACAACTTATCTTTCCAAGAAATATATATATATAACTATATCATGTTTTATTTTTATTATCATCTATATACATTTTAGCTCAACAAGTACAAAAGAATTGACCTCCAATCTCAAAATAGAAAAGTAATAAGGGTTTTCTTGTGTTTAGATCAACAATTGTGTTGAAATCAACCCAATGAAACTTGACATCCTTGAAAGTTGTGTTTAAATCAACCCAATGAAACTCAACATCATTTCCAAGGGTACTCTAATAGATATGATTCTTTAGAACCAAGACGTAAGGAAATGTCATTGTCTTCTGTTGCCCATGTACAAATACTATTATAACATTGATCACTAAACCAATTTTCCATTTCTGGCCAAAATACTTCACCAGAAGCATGTTCGTGTTTGCTGCTAAAATTGCACCAAAACCGTGTTGATTGCCTAAAATTTTCTTTGAAGGTCCAAGAGTATTTCTCTCCAAAGCCGATTTCATGTTAGCCTAGTTTTCGCTTTCATTCTCTTCTTCTTTTCTTCCTGTGAAGTAGCTTTACCCTTTTGACTCTCCTCTCCTGTAAAGCAGATCATGTCCCGTAATAAAACCTGTTGAATGTATCCATTTTTATTCTAATAGAATGAAATTTGATTAGATATTAAAAATAAGATAAGTAAAAATCGTTGTGTTTAGACTTGCAATGAGCCAAGAGAGCTGAATCCTTCATATGATTCCAAATTGCAACTTCTCATGGGGAGAATGGACGTTGTATCTTTAAATCGGATTGTTCAAAACATGAGCTAATAATCATGTTTGATTTAAAAGCAAGAAATATGATGAGACCGAATATGTTGTGAGGCTTCATTTTTTTGTGGGAGTTTAAGTTGGTAACTTTTTCTTTGTTCACAAATCCATTTTGTGTTGTTCACAAGTCAAAATGGTATACAATAAAAATTGACAGTTTGTACAATCTAAATCTCTCTACTTTTCTAACCTTATTTATCTAAATATATATCATATATGTAATAATTAATAGGGTGTATTATATATAGTAAGTTGTTACATTCAAGTTAAAATATGTTATATTTGGACCAGAGTTTGAATCCAACAAAACCTACTCTACAAGGATCTTTTGGTTGATAATGACTTAACCTACTCTCTACTTTTCTAACCTGAAGTCTGCGCTTCTACCCGAATCGCAACCTACGCATTGGCTCACTACCGACATGTGTCTTGTCCCCAGCCACTGGCGCACTCGGCTCAACTTTGCTAGTCTCTAACAGCTAAAAAAAAGTCATTTGATTTGGGTTAGATGTTTTAAGAACGATTTGAATGTTTTTGACCCTCTCGAAGCTGAATTTGGTCTTATTTAAGGGAAAGGTGAGTACCATGTTCAATTTCTCAATTGAAGTTAAATTAGGTTAGGAAAGAATTTTCTAATGAAACAAGGTGAATGTTTTAATAGGGTGAAATATCTCTACGATACTTGAATCAAACTTTGAGGGATGAAATCAAGCGTATTCGAGTATTAGATAGAACGTCGACCAAGGTCATCCATGTAAGTGGTCTTACAAAAGGCATGGTAGAAGTTTGTGTTATATAAGATGACACATGCTCAATGACTCTACACGTGTCATATGTTTGATATGTGTGAGATGTTTATGATATGATATGGTTGATGATATGATATATGTCTATGATATGATATGTTGAACTATATGATATGTTGAATGATATGACGTATGGAACTATACGATATGTCGAAGGTTACAATGTGTTGCATGACATGATATAATACGATGTATTACATGAATGATAAGCAGTAAAAAGTTTTGACATGATACACATCCCTAGACTTCGCTATAAAATAATATGATAGGAAGGAAAATGGAAGGGGTTGTCTTACATGGTTTAACTAATGTGAAAAAGTTGGGATCTCATGCATAATGGTATGTCACATGCTTCGAGATATTTTTTCCTTAGTATTAATATAAACGTGTAGTTTTGAAAAGGAAAATGATCGTCAGTTTAACAAGATGCTACGATGGTTGTTACTCCTTTTGGTTGTCCGACAATAGCACTAGAGACGCTAACCCAACAAGTACGAGGCCCAAAAGGTGTGCAAACCCCCTCGTGGGTCCATATTTGCACGTATGGGAAATGTACAGAGTAGTAAATACACATGTAGAGTTGACGAAACAACCAGCACCACCGTCAGCTCAAGCTAGGACTTATGCATCTAGGAGCAAGGATATTGGGAAGTCCGACGCCGTGGTGACAGGTACACTATTTGTTTTAGGTCATTTCATTTTTACCTTATTTGATTCTGGTTCTACGCATTCCTTTATTTCTATGTCTTTTGTTGTACAAGCAGGGTTCGAATTAGAACCCTTGTTGCATGAAATGTCTATAAGCACCCCTGCAGGGGTAGACTTAGT